AATAAAGCTACCAAAATAAATTAACTACTTAATAACGAAATCGCCAAATTTGGCGGGCATCAGATATTTCACTTTAGCCAATAATAATAAATGACACTTAACCCTCAGTCTTTATTTTTTGGGGAATATATTGCTAACACCTCAGAAATATCTGTATTAACCTGCAGGGGCTGGATTCCTTCTGCTTCACATATATTTGATCAGATAAGAATCAAATTGCCCTGCCGAGTACAGTGAATTCTTTTAATAGCTTCCCTAGACCCTTTAATACTGTTGATATATGTACCTTGAACAGACCATTGCACATTTCGAAGAGACCTTGAAATTCTACGTCTGTATTCGCTTCCCGTAATTCGACCCTTTATATTCTTTTCAAAATCGAGCATTTGTAGGACCTCGCAATCAACATTTTCTACATGCACAAGCTAGTCACGCTTTTTTTTTACCCTTTTCTCTCCAACATCTTATAAGGTATTTTTCGTGCTTCTATGTATGGTTCGCACGCTGGGCCGTTATTCCAATGTCCGTGGTTCGTCCCTGCGAAGTTTGCTCATTTTTCATCTGCTTGTTCCAAAAAAATACCTAATGTCTACAGTGGCGCTCGAACTAAAAAGAGTTGATGAGGATTCTGCACCGGATTTGCGATTGGGTCACCTAAAAGCCCAGTCGTCCCTCTTACTGCAACTCACTGTCGCCTGCGGTTAGCCTGGAGTAGAGAGCATGCACTGTGGACACCGCAACAGTGGGCTTGTGTGATGTTTTCCGACGAGTCCAGGTTTAGCTTGCAGTCTGATTCTCGCCGGACTTTCATATGGAGAGCTCCAGGTATTCGTTACCACCAAGAAAGCATCATTGAACGACACCGTTACGGTGGTGTAGGAGTGCTCGTTTGGGGTGGAATTATTCTGGGTTCCAGAACTGACCTTCATGTTCAAATTGGAATCATGACAAGCCATATCTATCGGGACGTCATTCTGGAACAACATGTACATTTGTTTCGGGGCCCATGGGCACACAATTTGTGTTTATGGATGACAACGCCAGTCCTCACCGTGCAAATATCGTAAGCGAATGCCTTCAATCGGAGGATATCACCCGTACAGACTGGCCAGCATTCTCACCAGGACTTGAATCCAGTAGAACACGTGTGGGACATGCTTGGCCGACGAGTTGCAGCCCGTCAACCTCCTTCCTACATGTCTACCGGAACTTCGGAGTGCATTGCTTTTTGAGTGGTGTAATATCCCCCAAGATCAGATCGATAATTTGATACTCAGCATGCCTAGGCGTTGTACGGACTGTATTGCATCGTCTGGGAGACATACAATGTATTAACAATCATACCAACCATGTAATATTGGTTTTTTTTTTTTTTTTTTTTTTTTTTTTTTTTTTTTTTTTTTTTTTTGTAATTTGCTCCAGGGATAAAAAATCGCTAATTTTTTTAATAATATCAAACATATAGCATCTTTTTTTGCTCTTTACCTTTTGTTTAATAAATAAGCTTTAAAAATAAGTCAAATTTGTTTTGCTAACTCTTCCTTTGCCTGATTTTGCATTATCCTTAATTTATGGACATGAGTGTATTTCTCGTATCTTCTTGATGTAGTGGTTCTGCAGGCTGGGCCGGTATTCCATTCAGATTTTCATTTATACCGCAATTATACCGCAAGAAGCACTGACATCACGCATAACTGATTGAAGATATGTGCACATCAGTGGTGAAAGAATTCTTTGAGCCAAAGAATCCTTTTCTGTGTTTTGAGTAGGTTATAAATTTTATATTCATTTAATCAATATTTTCAATCGTTTGGTAAATCTTAACTATGCGCTTTTGTGCGCTAACTCGTTGCATTATATGCTAACAACAGCACACAATAAAGTAAATTTATAATAAAAAAATTCGAGCAGTAACAATGTAAATGTATATTTTTACTCAACTAAAATATAATTTAAATTTTCTTCAAATATGGAACTACAGCATAACTATGAAAGTATAGCATAGATGAATTCGTTAAACACAGAAATGTTGTTAGCCTAAAAGAAACAATAGATTCCAAGGGTTTGCGACAAATTTTTAGCGAAAAGACAAGAATACGTGTTTACAGCGATAACAGTAATAGCGATAAGGGAAAAAGAGGAGCTTCATGAAACAAACACCTTACGAATGATTAACTCATAAGTTGTTCGGAATGCGCTCCGCCTTGTTCACTACTAGTTCGAAGCGCAAAATGTTTTGTTCCAAAACAGATCAAAGGGTATCTGCACTGATGCTATGAATATTGTGTGTGATGCTTGCCGTCAAGTTGGCCAGATTCATAATCTGCCCTCTGTAAACAGTATTCAAGTATCCTCGAAAGCCAAAAATCACTTGGGTTAAAGTCGGGTGAACGTGGCTTTCACGCTGTTGGAAAATGGATGTTATTCTAATAAGCAGTCAGCAGCTGCTTCACACAAGTAGGAATATGAGGATGACGCCATCTTGCATGATTGTGCAATCCACACGCTGACGCTACTAAAGTGTCGCAAAAATGTTTTATGCATAAATGTTTCATACCGCTTGCCAGTAACGGTGCATGTACCGGGACTCGCAAGTGTGATCTTGAAGAAAAAAGAGCCAACGACAAACGCTGCCATTATTTTGCACACGCAGTGATCTAATTATTAATAATGACTAATTTATTCACTTTTAAACTAATGGCCATTTTATTTGTTTCATTTTTAAGGACGAAGAAGGACAAACAGTGCTGCATTTCGCTGCTGCTCGAGTACATCCGGACGGCAGCCTCTATGCACTTTTGAGTCATGCTGAAGTCTTGTTGGGGGAAAGAGATTCTTTGTACCGCACATGTTGGGATGTTGCTGATGAAGCTGGACAGCAAGAAAATACCGCTACCATCGACAGATACGTGCTAGATGCTTTTCTGCAGCAGCGTTATTCTTTTATACAGATGCTGAAACATGATGGATATGACCACATGTTACAGATTAAGGACAATATCGGCAGGGATATTGAAACAATATTCGAAGAGTTAAAGATGCACTCTAACTCTTCTTTTCTGAGGAATATTACTGACTTTGTGGTAAGTATGAGATAGGATTCTGAACTGATTTTGCTACGCCTAGTTTGTGGGCTAAGAACCATATAGCTAATTTAATTAGAGAATTATCGGAAAAGAATGCGAGGATCATAAAAATGTATTACCCAAAAGTTACTACTAAACATAGTGCAATAATTCAAGTGCAGAGAATTAGCTTAAATGTTTGTCTTACGTTAAAAGATTTAGATTTTTGCTTCTTTTGATCCAGATAATTTGCACAGCATACCATGAAATGGTATTCGATCTGATCCTGAATCTGCTGAACAATCATAAATTCGAAACTGAAATCATAAATTCATAACTCATAACTGAACGAATCATTAATAAAATTGCCTTTGCGATTTTCTACTTTAAGTGCGGCGAATACTGAATCTTTATATACTGATGCGTTCTCTCGAAAATATATCAGATTAAAATAACAAATTTCTGGCAAGAATGATTGATCCACCCTTTTTTCATTTCAAATGATTGGAAACATTTTCTTTGCGTACAAGCAGGCTGTAGCAGAGTGTTTGTTATCACTTTAAAAATAGCATTATTTTTCTGACATCTTCAGTTTGTTAGAAACTTGAAACATTTTCAGGTGATTATATGCTAATGAGGTTCCTGAATAATACTTGTTAGTAAACTCCTGCTAATTATATAAATAAATGTAATTTCTTTTTTTACAGAGAAGAAGAGAAGACCTGCATGGTTATATCAGAAATAGCTACTTGGAAGGCACTTGCCGACTCATTAGATCAGATAACACACTTGTCACTGCAAAAAGCCAGAGAGCGAGATGCGCTCTTCACGTGGCTGTGCTTTTCGAACATATTGGTGTTATTCAGGCGTTGGTCAAAGCCAACTCATCCGCAGTACATGTGTCTGATAATGTGAGTACTAACGTGCATCTCTTACTAATATGTGTACGTAGCCAATAGAAATAATAATTAAAAAAAACCTATCGGGGAATATAAGAACTTTTAAACATTTCGTAATAAAAATTTAGCTATTATTACAAAAGTAAGTCTTTCTGTATGTAAATATCATAGAACTAATAAATAAGTGGGATGTTGTAAATGTCTTTAAAAACAAAATTACGGTTAAAAAAGTATCGGTCATGTTTGCTAAAAAAATGTGATAAACAACTGGTTCTTACAGATGTTTCTTGTAAAATGCCTGGAAGAAAGATTTTATTTTTAGAAAAATTCCGTTTTGAGACTAAGAAGATCTTTTGTTAACCTTGGTTGAAAATATTCTGATTTTTCTGCTGACAAAAGAAAACATAAAATTTGTCACTGAAATCAGAGAAAATCTGACAGAAAAATAGATTAACTATTGAATTTAAGTAACTCTGCTGTTCATACTACAGTTTCAAAACATGTACAGCCACAAACAACGCGTCCAACACTTTTCGCTGAACGAAAAAGATGGATTGCCAGAAATTCTATTTGTATTCCTCAGCTTAGTTCAGTCAAACTTTCTTTTCTCTCTTTTCTAACAGTAGGTTTCTTATCCTTATCCGCGCTAGTTTTGCCGGAATATCGCGCAAAGCGCGGCGTGTCCGACTCATGAAGCAATGCCCAATGAGCACGTGACGATAAAATTTCCTGACAAGTCGTTAAAGTCTTGAAGGTGGTAAAAAAAGGGGTGACCATGCGTCACAGAGCCATTTGAGAGCCTTAATACAAGATAAGCCAATTCAGGAGCTGTGAGGTGTACTGTGGTGCATGTTTGTGTTGATGCAGTGGTCAACAAAGACAAATGAGACAAGTAATGCAAAACATAATTTAAAGAATACATGAGAAAGTAGCATAACTAAATACAAGGCTAATACAATAAATGACGCAGTATGCATAATAAAATAAAAGTTAGAAATTGAAATACAAGTTCACAATATGAAATGCATAATAAAAAGTACTAACATATATACAAGGCGGTGAGATAACTAAGTTGGAAAATTTAAGTCCCGAGTGAGTTGGACCGCGAGCGGTCTATAAATGGAGTCCTCCTCAAGAAACAATATATTTAAACACATTAAGGTCTCCCATGGGCCTACAGTACTGTGCTTTTTTGAAGAAGTTTGCATTCATTCTGTGCAAATACTCCTCTTCTGTCTCAAGCTTCAAGTCCTTGTGAAGTGTCTGATTTGACACAAAGTAATGAGCTGTGGTCATCATCCTGAGCAACTTGGTCTGCGTAACCTGCAATTTAGGACAGAAGCCCAGGCAGATGACGCATAGGCAAAGATGGGACGAATAATCGAGATGTGAAGATGTCTCTTGCGTCCTAAGTCCAGCTTTGAGTCCGGGGAAAGAAGTGGTGTGAGGCATTGAATTACCCATAACATATTACTTCTGGCATAATTTACGTGCTCTCTCCACTGAACGTTGGAGCTGTATTTGACACCGAGGTACGTGGCCTTGTTAACAAGCGGCACGACAGTACCAAATAATGACAATTTCTTAGCAAGAGATGTGTTCATTCTCTTTTTCTTGATAATAATGAGTTTAGATTTCTCGGTATTTATGGCGATCCTCCATTTAGAGTACCACATCTCAAGCTGCGGCATTAGACTCTGTAATTTAGTGATTGCGAAATTTGGTGATGCAGACTTGACAGCAAGCGCCCTGTTGTCCGCATAACAACCCATAAAACAGTTATGATCGAAGTTGTCTGTAGGCAAATCAGCCACGTAAAACAAATACAAAATGGGCCCTAAAATAGACCCCTGTGGGACGCCAGCCATCCCTTTCTTGTTGTCAGAGGAGTCATTTCTCATGTGCACGAAGAAAGTCCTATCCGTTAGGAAGGAGTTAATAAACTGAATCAGCTCTCTACTGAAGTTAAGTTCTATAAGCTTGTAAATAAGCTTCTCATGCGAGACGCATTCGAATGCCTTCGTCACGTCCAGCATGAGTTAGGCAACACATCCCTTGTTGTGAAACGCACTGCCAATAAATTCTTTAAACCGTACCAACTGCTTGGTGGTGGAGAGGGATTTTCGAAATCCAAATTGCTCTAAAGGAAGCCTATCGAGATGAGACTGTATCCTGTTGAGGATGATGCGCTCTAAAATCTTGCCCATGCTGGGAAGTAGGCTGATGGGCCTGTACCCTTCAGGTTTTGTCTGATCTTTTCCCGATTTCGGGATTACAATCATATTGACAGTCTTCCATGACTCGGGAAAGTAACTGTGATAGAGACAGGGTTCAGGATGCCAGTGACCTTGTGATGAAAGTTAAGGATTGCCACTTGAGCATGACATTATTCATGTTATCATGAGCCTTCCTGTTCCGTAGTTTCTTAACAATATCCACAATTTCTCGGGGTGAGGTGAGCTCAAGATGATTTTGCATAGAAGAAGCACATGTCCAATCGGAGACATAGGAGCTAACCTTAGTCCAAAACTCTGGATTACTAGGAGTGCTGTTAGGGAAGAAATGCTTCTCAAAATGATCAGCAAGTATAGTAGTCTTATCTTTATTATTAAGAGCAACACGATGCTCCGCACACATTGGCTTGTTAACCATGGGTTTACTCTTTAATCTCTTTACAAACGACCAAAACGCGTTGTTGGGTTCGTTAAAGCTAGCGACTTTCTCGTCCCAGAGCTCTAACAGTAGGTTTGCCGATCAAATGGGGCTAACAATTAATGCAGAACCTGTTAGTTGTCCGAGTAGCTGCTGGAAGACAATTCCTCAGTAAAACGAACTGAAGGACAGATTACAGTTTGCTATGATCAGCATTATATAAAGCTTTAAGATAAGACTTCAAGATTTTTGTAATTCTATTGTATTTTTAGATAAAAGTAAATTCATTATTTTTGGAAGAATAGCAAATAATATAGTTGAGACCTAATACTGAGCTTTAACTGAAAGATCTCACTCTTTCAGTGAAACATGGTAGAGTCTGTAACACCATTTGCGGTGTTTAAAATCTAGATGTTTATGGTATTTATTATGATGGCAAAATAAATAAGTTTTTTGTTAATATATTTTTAGAAAATGAAGCAACGTTCTCAACAAATGGACCTATTGTCGTTTTAAAAACTTTATCAGGAAAATAATCAGCATAATATTATATTTTCAGATTAATAAACTTAATATAATTGTCCAAATGTAATGAAAGTGTCTGCTCAGAGTTCAGATATCAGTTCTATTGGACATATTTGGAGTGATTTCCCCCAAAAAATTAATAAATACAAAATTTCCATCAAAAATTAATTTAAAGAGAAACTTCATCACAGAATGGGGAAAAATAGAAGCAAATGTGTGTCAGAATCTTGTGTCATCTATATGCCTGTATGACTTAATGATGTCACAAAAGGAGGCCCATTCAATTAGAATTGTTTAAAAACCCTTCACTAAGTTTTTGCTTCCTCATTTACACACAAGAAGCATATAATTTAATATTTATTTAACATTATTTGTAGTTAATTTTAAGATTTTTCGAATTTGCTTTGCTTGAATAATGGCTTAAGAAACATCAAATATTAGAGTCCTGTGTTATATTTAAAGAAATTAAATAATGAAGAATCTGCATAAATATATAACCTAGAGCCATCAAAGTTTGAATAACGTAAATCTCCACCTGAATATGGGCATCTGGAAGCTTAAATTTGTAATTTGTTTTATTATCTATTTCATATTTTGTAAAAAGTTTAGGAGTTTTTGATTAAGAAACTCAACGGTTTCAAAGCAAGCAATAGCAAAACAAAAAACGGAAAAAAAATTTACCTTGTACGGAAAAAAAAAAAAAATTGTACGGAAAAAAAATTATCTCCAGCGCGCGAATCTCCAGTACGGAAAAAAAAATTATCTCCAGCATATCGGAAATTCTAAGGATATGCTCATAAACATTTTGTGATATTGCTGTTGAATTGAATTTTATAGTTTGAGTATTCGAGAGGTTCGGGGTTCGATTGCCGGCGAGGGCATTGCTCATTCTTCTAGTCTCCTGCTTTCAAAAAATACTAATGTCTCTACAGTGGCGTCCGAACTAGAAGGTGGTGACTCTTCACCACTAGAATTTAGCGATTGGGTCCACTAAAACGCCAGTCGCCCTTTAATAGGGTGGAGTATATAAGGTATTTCTTCCGCCTTCTTAGCATGCCTTCGGAGTGAAGTGGTCAGCACGTTCGATGCAAATTTTAGAGGTCCATGGTTCGAGTCGCGGCGAGGGCATTGCACGTTTTTCATGTCTTCTGCTTTCAAAAAATACCTAATGTATCTACAAGGTAACACACGAAATGTTAAGAAAACGCCCCTTTGGGCGTAATATAAAATCTGAAAGCTTTCGGATTTTTTAAAATTATTCTTTCATCATTATTTGAAAGCTTGTTTTGTTCCAATACTTTTTTGACTCACCGTATTTGTGATAAGAATTTTGGTTCTGAAACAGGAAATGAAGATGCTGATGGAGCTTGTATATGTTTCAATTATATGCAATCTGTATTGAGAAATATTTTTTGATGTCGAAATATGGCGCTACAAGTCCATCTGTTTGATTTACTTGAGACCTTCTCTTTTGAACGTATGACTATACAAAAGTTCATGATTGAGTCACTTTTATTATGGAGCTTGAACTGCATCGCGGGGTCTGATTGACCACTAAAAATATTTGATGGAACAAATGAGTTCAACCTTTTAAGTTTTGTAACTCGATTTAGGATTTTAGCGTGCATCATGTATACATTTATACATATTTATTTAAGATTTGATTAAAAGATGAAAATACCTGCATGCTATGCACCTTATTCTTTAATTCTTGTTTGATTTGATTTTGATCGATTTCGTTACATGCTGCATCGGCCGGGAAAATTTGGATTTAGCGCATAGGAAGCGGGCGAAGATCATTAACGTATTTCTGTTTTCAGAGTACACTAATGATA